AGTTCCACTTGAGAATACTGGCCAGGGCTATTTATGTAACTTGGGAGAGTGGTAAAGATGAAAGACTTAACTAGAAAAAAAACTTTGTTTTGCTAAACAGTGAATACAATCCTGCAAACACTTACTTGGGAGCAAGACCCAATTTTGTGCCTTGGACTTATATAAATGTTCAAGGACAGAAGCACACACATTTCCCAACTTTAAAGAGTTGCGATTGGCAACCCAAACACAAATACTGCTAAGCAATAAAGCAGCTCAGCTGCTGAGAAGTACAAAACAGTAAATTTCACAGCCAGAATAAGTTTTTTTTTCAACCAAGTAGAAAAACACAGTCACTGAGAGGAGGCGGCTCACACTCTGGTTAACTTTTGATATACTATGCTATCATACATTATGAATGAGTTATATTATGCAACCCAGGAGGTGTGACCCATAAGCCCCTCATAATTTGTGAAACTTCCAACTCCTTGCATTCTTCACCATTGGCTATGTTAGCAAGGACTACTGGGAGTTACAGTTCAACAATGATCCCCAGCCTGTTCACATGGACACTGATAGCATGTTAGTCATTAGGTAAGTAAATAGTCCCTCATGACTGGATCCAGACTAAACTTTTAAAATTCAGTATCTTCCTTCTCTGGCCCTACCATTGCTCAATTTTGATAAACGTGCAAAAGGCATCCTCAAAAAGAGGATAAAGTGCAAAAGCTTTAATTCCTTATAGGATCTCTATAAAAGATAAATGTTTCCCCTGACATTAAGTCTGGTTGTGTCCGACTCTGGATGGTGGTGTTCAACTCCATTTCTAAGCCGAAGAGCCGGCGTTGTCCATAGACACATTCAAGGTCATGAGGCCAGCGTGACTGGATGGAGTGCTGTTACTTTCCTGCCAAGGCGGTACCTATTGATTTACTCACATTTTCATGTTTTCGAACTGCTAGGTTGGAAGAAGCTGGGGCTAACAGTGGGAGTTCACACCACTCCCCGGATTCAAACTGCCGACCTTTCGGTCAGCAAGTTCAGCAGCTCAGCAGTTTAACCCACTGCGCCACCAGGAGGCCCTTATGGGATCTCTATAGTTTCCCAATATTGAGTTTCCAAAATCTTAGGATTATTACTTCGGCTATACAGGAAAAGAAAAAAACCTACAGTGACAGTCCAGTTGTCAGTCTCAACTGCAGTAGACCCACTAAACCAGGCATGGGCAAACTTTGGCCCTTCAAGTGTTTTGGACTCCCACAATTCCTAATCGCCAGTTAGGAATTGTGGGAGTTGAAGTCCAAAACACCTGGAGGGCCAAGGTGTGCCCATGTCTGCACTAAACCATAAGCAGCAAGCTCCCCCACTTGAATCAATGCTAGTTGGGAGTAACAACTGGATTTAGGCCTTAGAAATGTGTGGCCTTTCAAAGGCTGAACTTATTATGGCATACAGTTTTATGGATTGTGTTCATTAGATGCTATGGATGCAGGTGAAAGGTATAGTATAGACATCAAAGATATGTTGGAACTTTTGAATGGGAGGAGGAATCATGTGGCCTACCTGACATACCAATAGCCTTCTGCAGATTTTTAGTAGCTTATCCCAAAAGTTAAACTGTTCAGTAGTGGAAACTTGTCCAACCCACCCCAAATTACATTGCTAAAAAAAGCCGTGGAAGAAAAAGAGTAATTTTTTGTATAAAATGTTGCATGTGAACTTAAATCGTGGTGCTGACCACAAACCTCTGGGCTGGCTGATCTGCGGTGAGGCATCCCATCCCCTCATGTTTAGTATATGATCATCTCTGTTTGCATCTGGCACCAGCATGCGGACCTCAGAAAGAAAAGAGACCCCCAGATATCTAAAGACTGCCTGTCTCTGGCCCAGCAATTTGAACAGCAGGAAGCAAGTTGCAGTCGACCCCAAAACAAAGAGTCCTCTCAACTACAAAGGAGTAAAACATACTGTCTGTGAAATGTATGACACTGCTACTGTTGAATTAGATTGAAAGATAAATATAAAAACCCAAGAAGCTGACCCTTTTAAGATCACTGTAGTTTTAGGTCACTGTTTACACTAGGCATGGACCAACTTGGGCCCTCCATGTATTTTGGATGTCTATTCCCACAATTCCTAACAGCCTCAGGCCCTTCCTTTTCCCCCTCAGCCACTTAAATACTCCCCTGCCACTACATAATTGGAGCCCTGCCAGAAAAGGGGCGGAGTCCCGTGAAGACTCAAGGGTTAATTGGACCTGAAATGGATGAACTATCCGCTTTGGGAAAGAGAGGCATTCTTTTTTTTCCCAAAAAGTATTTTTTTATCTGTATTGTGGAAGACTCTGAAGGTGTCAGCCACAGATGCAGTCAAAACATTGGGAGAAAGTAATAATAAATTTTATTTGTACCCTACCCCATCTCTCCAAGGGACTGGGGCAGTTCACAACATGAATAAATACAGCAAAATACATTAAAATAAATAACAGATCACATCAATAGAAAAAAACAAGATAAGCCAAAACACAAATATACAACATTAACAATAAAATTATAAAACTTTAGTTAAAACACTGTCATTCCTATGCTGCTAGAACAGGACCTTGCAGCCCAGAAACCATTTAACACCCCTGTGTTCAATAATGTTTAATGTTTTATCAGGGGAGGGACAATTTTGATGATTTATACTGTTTTTTATCAATCGCATTGAATTGTTGCCAACACTGTGAACCGCCCCAAGTTCCCTTCGGGGTTGAGAAGGGTGGTATACAAATACCACAAATAATATTTTTATTTATTTGAGAAAGAGAGAATGGTAAAACCAAGGGTGCATTTCAACACAGCAGAATGAATGCACTTTGGCACGGCTTTAACTGCCCTGTCTCAATGCTATGCAATCCTGGAAGTTGCGGTTTTACAAGATACTTAACCTTCAATGTCCAAAACTGCTGGTGCCTCATCAAACTATAGCCTTCTATAGCAGGTGTAGGCAAACTTGGGCCCTCCCTCCAGGTGTTTTGGACTTCAACTCCCACCATTCCTAACAGCCTCAGGCCCTTTCCTTTTCACAGCCGAGGGAGAAAAGGAAGAGGCCCAAGGCTGTTAGGAATGGTAGGAGTTGGAGTCCAAAACACGTGGAGGGAGGGCCCAAGTTGGACCAGGCCTGGTTTATATGCTGTAGGCACTGTAGAAGGTTGGTTAAGCACTTTAAATCCATTATTTAAAACTGTTATTTTAACACATCTGCACACACTGCATACCTAGTGCCCATCCAACAGCATGATTTGTTTTTGGGAGATCCATGTGTAGAAATTATTATTGTGTGTGTGTGTGTTCAGGAGAGACTTGAGAAAATGCATGTTGGGGCTGGTGTGAGAGAACTGGCCATCTGCAAGGACACTGCCCAGTTGTTTTGATGTTTTGTCATCCTTGTGGGAGACTTCTCTCATGTCCCCACATGGGGAGCTGGAGCTGACAGAAGGAGCTCATTCACACTCTCCCCGGACTCAAACCTCTGACCTGTCGGTCGGCACAAGGGTTTAATCCACCATGCCACGGGGGGTCGGTGTAAAAAAATGAGAAGAGGATAGATAGGCTGATGGGTTTGGTTGTTATTTTTCCAACAGTGCCATGCAGAAGAGATCCCCAAGACCAGGGTCCTCAAACTAAGGTCCAGGGGCCGGATACGGCCTTCCAAGGTCATTTACCCGGCCCTCGATAAGGGTCAACCTAAGTCTGAAACGACTTGAAAGCACACAACAACAACAACAACCCTATATCATCAGCCAAAAGCAGGCCCACTCTTCCCATAATTGTTCTTCATTTTAATAATCGTATTGTTTTTAAGTGTTTTTTGCTAATAAGATATGTGCAGGATGCATAGGAATTCATTCATTATTTTTTTCAAATTATAATCCGGCCCTCCGGCAGTTTGAGGGACTATAACCTGGCCTTCTGTTTGAAAGGTTTGAGGACCCCTCCCCAAGACGCTTGCTGCTGTTCCTTTCTTTCAAAAACGCATACATGTGTACTGTCTATCTGGAAAGTCGAACTGGCAGTCCAAATAAAGCCTGAGCTCTCCAAATGAGAGGCTGCCCTTTTAACAGTGTGAGCCCTTCATAAGAATCCAGCACAGAAACCAAAGTCCTGTTGCAGCCAAAAGGAAGTGGCTCTACCTGCTGGGAGGGGAGGCACCTCAGGAAATCCTGTCTGAGCAGCGCCAGGGTTTGCCTTTTCCCTGATTAGATGTAGGAAGCAACAGAGGTCCATACATGGGAAAGATCATATGGACTGGGGAGAGGATAGGCCAGCAATTGATGGGTACGGGGCAGGTATGAGCCCTCCAGGTGTTTTGGACTTCAACTCTCACCATTCCCAACAGCCTCAGGCCCTTTCCTTTTCCCCCTCAGCCGCTTAAGCGGCTGAGGGGGGAAAGGAAGGGACCTGAGGCTGTTGGGAATAGTGAGAGTTGAAGGAAGGGGCCTGAGACTGTCGGGAATGGGGAGAGTTGAGGGATGGGGCCTGAGGTTGTCGGGAATTGGGAGCGTTGAGGGAAGGGGCCTGAGGCTGTCAGGAATTGGGAGAGTTGAAGGAAGGGGCCTGAGGCTGTCCGGAATTGTGAAACTTAAAGGAAGGGGCCTGAGGCTGTCGGGAATCGTGAGAGTTGAAGGGACCTGAGGCTGTCAGGAATCGGGACAGTTGAGGGAAGGGGCCTGAGGCTGTCAGGAATTGGAAGAGTTGAGGGAAGGGGCCTGAGGCTGTCAGGAATCGTGAGTGTTGAAGGAAGGGGCCTGAGGCTTTTTGGAATTGGGAGAGTTGAAGTCCAAAACACCTGGAGGACCCAAGTTGGCCCATGCCTGCTTATCTACAAGGTGGATGCAGCCAAGGTGGGGCTGGGATGCTCTCCCCTGCAGCTAAACACCGCCAGAGGCCGGCAAAACCTCCTCTGAGCCATCCCCAAGCAACATGTGGCCATGCCCCTTCCACCCTCCCTCCCCCATTCCCTCTTTCCCTTGGGCTCACCGATGGAGACGAGCTTGATGTTCTCCCTCTCGAGGAACTCCAGGGCGACGGAGACGTTCTCCAGCTGCATCTGCCGGAAGGTGGGGCGCTGGTGGTACTTGCGGTACATGCGCTTCTGGCTGAGCACCTCCAGGAGCGCGATCAGGCGCAGCCCGTCGCTCAGGTCGCACTGCAGGTTCCCGATGCGCTTGTTCACGCAGCGGAGGTGCTCGTTGCACCAGCGGGTGAAGGTGTTCTGCTGGATCCGCTTCCAGGGCGCGTCCTCCGCCAGGTCCTTCTCCGTTACCGGCATGATGCTGTCGGGCTCCGAGGCGCGGGGCACTGCTCCCACCTCCTGCTTCGGCTGCTGCTGCTGCTTCTGCTGCTCCGGCCGAGGAAGAGCAGACGACTGCGAGTCCGGGATGTGCGCGCTCCAGTCGCCGCGAGCCACCGGGACCCGCGCCTGCGCACTCGCGCTCATGCCGCCGCCGCCGCCACCAAGGGCCCCGCCTTCCCTAACTCCTCCTCTTTCTCCTTCCCTCTGGGTCGCAGCCAAGTTACAATGGGTGCAACTACTCAGCAGCGCCCTTCGTTACTCAGACAGTCAGTTTAGCAACCTCTGCTGCCACTACCTCTTCTTCTTCTTCTTGGCCTGCCCCTGCAGCCACCGCCCTTACCTTTCTCACGCACTTCACCACTACACAGCCACTCTCGCGCTCCTCTTTAGACCCCGCGCCTTAAATACTCCCCTCCCGCTCCGTGATTGGAGCCCCGCCAGAAAAGGGGCGGGGTCCCGGGAAGGGAAGGGCAAGGCTGTTGAGACTCAAGGGTTAATTGGACCCGAAATGGGTGAACTACCCGCTTTGAGTCAGAGAGGCGTTCCTTTTTAGCAAAAAGTATTCTATTATTTGCATTGTGGAAGTGACTGGCTTGACCTTGAAGGCGCTGGGGGTGGTGACGGCCGACAGGGAGCTCTGGCATGGGCTGGTTCATGAGGTCACGAAGAGTCGGAAGCGACTGAACAAATGAACAACAATTGTGGAAAGCCCTGAAGTTGCAAGCGAAATGTCAGGAGAAAATAAGAATACTACTAATAATAAACTCATTGGAGGGAAGGATATTAGGGGCAAAGATAAAGTATTCTGGCCACGTCATGAGAAGACAGGAAAGCTTGGAGAAGACAATTATGCTGGGGAAAATGGAAGGAAAAAAGAAGAGGGGCCGACCAAGGGCAAGATGGATGAATGGCATCCTTGAAGTGACTGGCTTGACCTTGAAGGAGCTGGGGATGGGGATGGCCAACAGGGAGCTCTGGCGTGGGCTGTTTCATGAGGTCACTAAGAGTCGGAAGTGACTGAACGAATGAACAACAACAATTGTGGAAGGCCCTGAAGGTGCAGGCGAAACGTAAGGAGAAAATAAGAATACTAATAATAATAAACTCCATGCTTCAGAAAATAAACCCCAACTGCTCATTGGAGAGAAGGATATATATTAGGGGCAAAGATGAAGTATTTTGGCCACATCATGAGAAGACAGGAAAGCTTAGAGAAGACAACCATGCTTGGGAAAATGGAAGGAAAAAAGAAGAGGGGCCGACCAAGAGCAAGGTGGATGGATGGCATCCTTGAAGTGACTGGGTTGACCTTGAAGGAGCTGGGGGTGGTGACGGCCAACAGGGAGCTCTGGCGAGGGATGGTCCATGAGGTCACGAAGAGTCGGAAGCGACTGAACGAATAAACAACAACAAAAATAAACTTTTATTTGTACCCCGCCCCATCTCCCCAAGGGACTGGGGTGGCTCACAACATGATTAAATACAGTAAAATACATTAAAATAAATAATAACATGATATTTCTCAACCCAGGGGTTGGGACCCCTGGAGGGGTCACCAAAGACCATCAGAAAACACAATCTTTTCTGTTGGTTGTGGGGGTTCTGTGTGGGAAGTTTGGCCCAATTCTACCATTGGTGGGGTTCGAAATGCTCTTTGATTTTAGATGAACTATAAATGGTCCATCTGTACACAGTAGAAAGAATGCCCCTTGTTACTGCTCTAACTTCCCTGGGTTAATGCTATGCAATCCTGGGAGTTGTAGTTTTACAAGATATTTAACCTTCTCTGACCAAAAGTGCTAGTCCCTCATCAAACTACAACCTTCTATAGCAGGCCTGGGAAAACTTGGGCCCTCCCTTCAGATGTTTTGGACTTCAACTCCCACAAATCCCTAACAGTCTCAGGCCCCTTCCTTTTCCCCCTCAGCCATTGGGCCCAAGTTTGGCCATTCCTGCTCTATAGCATGGAACCCTTGCAGGTAAAAGAGATATCAAACTACATCAATTCTACAGTGTAGATCAGTGGTTCCTAACCTGTGAGTCCCCAGGTGTTTTGGCCTACAACTCCCAGAAATCCCAGCCAGTTTACGAGCTGTTAGGATTTCTAGGGTTTGATAGACAAAACATCTGGGGACCAATAGGTTGAGAACCACTGGTGTAGATGCCCCCCAAGAAGCACCATTTTGTAATACATAATACTAAAACTACTACTACTTTCCATCAACTACTGCCAACTACAAACCTAACACTTGCAGAAACACAGCACACACAAGAACTAAGCTAGCAAAACAGCCAGGACAACAATTCTACTAACCTCACATTCATGATTTTATCCCTTATTCTACTCCTTTTAAATGATACATATTACGTAGCTACAGTTCAGTTTTGGGTAACACTTATAAATAAATCCTACAATTGGCATCGTTGTTGTGAAAAAGTATGTTACAGAAATTATGAAAGGTTGGGGGAATAGAGAAAAGAGTTGTGCTAACTTGTGGGTTTTGATCATTAGTGGGTTTGGATTACCAGAAGAAGCAGATGAAGTAATGCTTAGCTAGAGAAGTAACGTTTTATATATTTGGACTTATAACCACCATAAAGAAAGCCAAGCACCATTATTTTCTGTTTCTAGCTGTTCTGTGTTTTCTCCTTTTTGGATTTCTTTTTTCCCTTTGTATTCATAAGGGTTCTTTGGTGTGCTTTGAAATCCTTAATAAAAAAAGTTATAGCTTGCCTTAAAGTAATTCAGCTAATTATTTTCACCACAGTCCAGTGAGATAGAGGAGAAAGTGTGCAGAACTAGCTCAGGCATTTATTTCATAAAAGATAGGCATATCTAACAAAGGCTTTTGAGATGCAGGGCCCTTCCACACATCCATATAACCCAGAATATCTGCTTTGAACTGAGTTATGAGCCCACAGTGCCACATATTCCAGTTCAAAGCAGATATTATGGGATTTCCTGTCTTGATATTCTGGGTTATATGGCTGTATGGAAGGGCCCTTCGTTCCAATCTAAAGTGGGAAGACAGATTGTAGTGTTGTTGCAACTATAAGGCTACATTCACCCCAAATTGTACTAGAATTAACTGGTTGCTCCTAAAAGTTCAGCAGGATTCCTTTCCCCTTCTCATTAATTGTAATAGACAGTAGATACAAGCCACTTTCAATATAAGGCAGGGGAGCACCCCATAAAGGTTTCTCTTTTCCCTGACCTAGGGCACTTCCACACAGCCCTATATCCCAAAATAGCATGGCAGAAAATCCCACAATATCTGCTTTGTTGTCTGAGTCCATGCTCAGATAATGTGGGGTTTTATGCCTTGATATTCTAGGATATAGGGCTGTGTGGAGGGCACCCTAGTTTTAGTTGTTTGCTACGTATTGGGTTCGGGCAGGCAGGGGCTGTCAAAGACATTTTGCTGCCTGAGGCTGAGAACCTAATGGCCCTATTTGCCACTGCAAGGCTGGAAAGGTTTTTTTTACCCCCAAGAAACAAAATCACTCAGGCACCTGTAATAATAAGTAGAAATAGACAGTGTTATGTAGTAGTTTGAGCATTGCACTTAGGAGACCATGGTTCTAATCCATGTTTGGTTGTGAAACGCACTGGGAGATCTTGGATAAAATGACGCTCTCTCGGGTGCAGAGGAAAGCACACAAGAGGAACAACAAAGAAGTAAGCCATAATGAGCAACAAAATTTTATCTCATAATGTTTTTGCTTCCACTTTATATATTCACCGCCCCTGCCACATACACACTTGTTTTCCCAATGCAGGATCTTCAGAGGAAGGCATCAGCTGATTCCCATATCTTCCTCTTCCTTGCAGTTTTGTATTTTTTTTTCTATTTCTGAGGAGTAGATCGGGTTTAGAAGCTCTTTGGCATGAATTCTGCAACTACTTTGCCTTTCATCCTGTTGGATTAGTGCCCTGGTTCTAGCAATCTCTGAGTTCTTGAGGAAGGGTATTTTGTCCTACATATCTTTCAGTGGCTAGCAGGTCTTGGACTTGAAGTTCCCAGACTCAGCATATCCAGACCTTTGATCATGTTAGTCACCCTCCTCTGGACACCTTCCAGCTGGTCAACATCTCTCTTGAATTGTGGTGCCTAGGTTTGAACATAGTATTCCAGGTGAAGTCTGACCAAAGCAGAATAGAGAGACACCAGGACTTCTCTTGAACTAGACACGATACTCCTTTGGATGCAGCCCAAAATCCGATTGGCTTTTTAGCTGCTTCATCACACTGTTGGCTCATGTTCAACTTGTTGTCCACAAAGACTCCCAAGATCTTTTTCACATGGACTCTTGTTGAGCCAGGCATCACACCACCTGGATCTGTGCATTTAGTTTTTTCTGCCTGGGTGTAATATTTTACATTTCTCCTTGTTGAAATCAAGATATGCAATATCCACAGCATTCCCTGCATCTAGCAAACTTGTAACGCTATAAAAAAGAGAGATAAGAATACCTCAGACCTCACTACCTCTGAGGATGCTTGCCATAGATGCAGGCGAAACGTCAGGAGAAAAAATTGCCTCCAGAACATGGCCATATAGCCCAGAAAAACCTACAACAACCCAGTGATCCTGGCCATGAAAGCCTTCAACAATACATTGAGATAAGAATAGTCTGGCAAAATTTGTTTTTGAGACATCCATATTAACTTTTACTCATCACAGCATTCTTTTCGAAGTGATTTCAGACCACTGCCATACTGATACTGAGGATTTACCAGCATCATTATTATTTATTTTATTTAAAACATTTATATTCCACCCTTCTCATCCCGATGGGGACTCAGGGCGGAGCACAGCATATACATGGCAAACATTCAATGCCGGGACACAAATTCACATACAATACATAAACATTAAAAACATTTATCAAAATATTAAAATGCACCATTTAAAACCGTCCTAGTCATCCGCATGAAATCAATTGGCCTGGTCATCTTTAGGTTCTTGAACCTCAGAGTTTATATCCAGTTGACTTCTGGATAAGTTTAGGCCTCCTAAATCCCTTCCACACAAACAAATAAAATCCCACATTATCTGCTTTGAACTGGAATATATGGCATGTGGACTCAGATAACCCAGTTCAAAGCAGATATTGTGGGATTTTCTGCCTTGATTTTCTAGGTTTTATGGCTGTGTGGAAGGGCCCCTAGAAACCACGCAGGTCAGAAACCTCACTCTTTTAACAGGAGTATATAGATAAAATCCATGGGGGTCACCATGAATCAATAGACAACTTGAAATCACATACAAACACATAGAGGAAATAAGTTCAGCTGGCAATTTTCCTCTCATTCTCTTAATGCAGGAGTTAACACAATCACCACCATTCTCTGGAAGCAGCTGGGAAGAGAACATGAACTCTTCTC